AAAAAAGGATGAATCCGATGGCGCAGCAGTCCAGAAGAAGCAAAAATGTAGAGTTCAGATCTGTAGCCGATCTCGAAGAAGAATCAAAGACACTCAAGAACCTCCCAAATACTGTTAGAGAGTTCTTGAACCAGCAGCAGAGATGACCAAAGAGATACTGTGTGGATTAAGTCGTGACCAGCTCTGATACCATGTGAAAATTTGAGAGAAAAAATGAATTGATTGTATTATTTTGGAAGGAGCATATACACAACTTTATATAGAATTACAGAGCTAATTTACAGGGTGATAAAATAGGAAACTAACTTTTCCTAAAAAACTAATTTCTATATCAGTGGGATTCTCCAATTAATATCCCTTGATTCTAGGATATCCCATGATTCTAGGAAATTAAGTTTCTTAAACTGATGGACCTAAAATTATGGAGAATCAATCAGAGAGTCAATCTTCTACTTTCCAACATTTAACTTAAAGATGAGATTACAAGGATGCCCTTAGTAGGGCGGCTACTAAAAGCTGAACAATCACAACTTAAAAAAACATAAACTAATGGGCCCAAGGCCCAACAACTTCCTAACTAAATAAAAACAAACCAGACCACTCAACATCTACATGTTGCTGCATCTCTCTAGCTTTCCCGTTCAATAGTTTCCAAGTGATCAATTTCATGCCAAAGAGATTTCAGAGTAGCAAAATATACTGAGATCGACTTCTCCCATTGTTTGTGGTTGTTTACTTCACACTTCAGTTCATAAGCTCTAGCCACATTAAGGGGTTGAGAATAAGTCTCCTTCATGCTGTCCCAAATCTCCTTGGCTGTTTTTGCCCAAAGGTAGTTTCGACTGATATGGGGCTGTATAGAGTTGCATAGCCAAGTCATCACCAAGTAGTTCTCTTGAACCCATATTGGATGAGATGTATCCTCCTCGGCTGGTTTCTTTGTCTCCAGTCACATACCTTAATTTACCTTACCTCCAATGGCCATCATTGCTGATTGGGCCCACTCCAAGTAATTTGTTCCATCAAACCTAACAGTGGTAATCTGGAACGAATTTTCAGTCATGTTACCAGTCCCAAAAAAACCTTCCCCTTGTGTTTTCACCTCATTTCCAACTTTTTCCATACTATGTAGATCACAAATAGGTCACAAAACTCCAAGAAGAAGACTAAAGGAGACTAATTTTCTGCTGAAACACTAAGAAAAACAGAAAAAAACAATCCAGAAATTGATCTCAGCAAAGAATAGGTGCATAGAACTTAATTTCAGTCGACAGTTTCTTCTCAAAACTGTAACTTCAGTCAAAATATCAGAGCCCTAGATCAATATCAGTAAAGAACAGATCTTGATTCCTCAAAAGAGATCGATGGTTTTAATGCCAAGGAGAAAACAGCAAGGTATTCTCAGATTTATTATGCCGCTGCTAAAAATAATTCTTGATAACTTCTATCTAAGATCGAATTAACTTAAAGGTTGTACCTTTCTCAGAAAAAAAAAGAACTCTGATCGTCCACTTTGGTTTGAAACCCTGACCTTGATCGAACCTGAACTCTTTCTCAGAAAAAGAATTCTATTTGTCCACTTTGGTTTGAAACCCTAACCTTGATTGAATCTGAACTCTGATTCTTCCTGGTTACTGGGTAATTCTCCAAGAATCTTTCACCTTCTTGGGCAGTCTTCAGCACTCCAGTAACCTCCAAGAACCAGGCAACTACTGCAGAAGTCTTGATCTAATGGATTTTCATGTAGCCGGCCAGATCAGGCTTACATGAAAACCCTACTCTTTCTCGCCAATAGCTCTGATACCAACTTGAATAAAAGCAAGTAGATTTCTGTTCTACTGTAATTCAGAAAAGAAAGAAAAGAAAGGAATAACTAGGCTTCGAAGAGAAGAAGAGAAGAGAAGAGAAGAGAGAAGAAAGGGGTTTGGTTGATAGGTTCTGCCGCCCCATAAGTTTAATCTCCTTACAAAAATAGGAGTTATTCTAATCCTACTCATACTCTAATCCTATTTAGAATAAAACTCAAACAAAAGCATAAACTAGGATAAACAAGGCCAGCCAGCCCAACTTAAAAAAAGGATAAAAAATAACTAAGTGTGGGTATGGAACCACACACACTAGAACCTAAGTGTGGGTATGGAACCACACACTCAAAGCTACTAACTATCTCTACAGTTTTCTTTAATAAAATTCTCCATTTTGTTATCCAACTTGAAGTGTATGCTCCATGGTTTGCATATATATGCAAGTGATACTTGACCTTTATTGTTCTGTTATTATTCTTTCTTCTTTGTTGCATTAATATGACTTGTTCTTTAACAATTAGATGTTTGTCCAGATCATGCATGTTTTTGGTGTTTATTGCAGTTGGTTTGAGGGATACCTCTGTTGTTGTTGTTATACTTGATACTGGTGAAGTATATATTGTTGCCAGCTTGTCCACAAGGAGTGACACCCAGGTTATTTATATTGACCCCACAACACGATTACTTTGTTACAATGGGTAGGTAGGAGTTGATATTTTCAGTTCTGAAGATGAGGCTTTGAATTGCATTACAAATGGATCAAGGTGGTTTTGTAAGAGTAAAATTTATGCTAGATCAGTACTGGGTTATTCGTCCCTAGGGAGCTTTGGGTTACTTTCAGTTGCAACAAAATTGACTGCCAGCATACTACCAAATTTGCCTGGTGGAGATGTGTATATACTGTGACTGAGAGCCAATGGATCAAGGTTTCCGCTTCAAATTCTTCAACCCCAGGGTAAGGGGGAACTAAAGAACATCCAAGAATTGTCTGAACTTGATATTGATGGGAAGCACTACTTCTGTGAAACAAGGGATATAACTCGACCTTTTCCAAGCTGCATGCCGTTACAGAAGCCAGATGATGAATTTGTTTGGAACGGATGGTTTTCAATACCTTTCAAAGAAATTGGGCTGGCACAGCACTGTGTAGTTCTTTTTCAGGTTCTTCTTCATACTTGGTGCACTGATTTGATGATTAATTTTAAATGTTAATTCATCCACTTCTTTCTGAATTTATTAAGGCTTCTAACATTATCTCTTTTGAAGTATTAGTTAAGTGTTTTATTTAGTATATGATGCTTTCCATTAGAACATACTTTGGCTCTTACTCTCTAAAGATGCACACAAAAACATACTCTCACCGTTTTATCCTATTTTTAATTCCTTCTAAGATTTACCTTTCAATCTCTAAAGGCACACAAAAACACCCACTCCTAAGATTTTTTTTCATGGTTACTATAGTTGCAAAGGTGCCGTCGGGGGTAGGTTATAGGGGAGTACCTTGTTACCTAAGAAATAGATTCTTTAAAATAAAAAAAAGCATGAATCCTAGGATTGTGCCCTGAATTTCACAAGTTAGCTGGAAGAACCCTTGGATTAAGAACACTAATATACATGCAAAGCGCCTATGTGTTGCAATTTGAAACGAAAGGGACCAGGGAGATTTTTTTTTTCAGTCACCACAGTTGCCAAGGTGCCTTGACACCTAAAAAACATGAATCCTACGATAGTTCCCTAATTTTTCATACTAGCTGGTGAGCAAGTTGAGAGGTAAAATGTTCCCTAAAATGGATTCTTGGAAAGGATCTTTGTTCATTCAAAGATGATAAGAAGATATGCTAAGATATTTTTGCAAGATCATGTCATGAAATTAAGACTGTTCATGTTCACAAGGAATCCAGGGGCCATTTCCAATGTTCATGCCTTCCACTTTGGGTCAATTTGAATTCCATGGAATTGAAGATGAATTTTGAACCAATTCATGGTTGACATAAGGGCATGGAAGTTCATACTTTATCTGCATATTCATGCTTGACATCATCAAATCTTTTCTTTAAAAACTATGTGAAAAACTAAATAAAAAAGGGCTGACTACTAAAAATAAACTAAAAAGGGTTGTCATCTAATGCTGGTTCCAAGCTATCCAGGGCCTATGGAGAGGTGGAAATTTAATATATATATCCTTATTCCCATATGACTTAATTGGTGTATGTGATGTTCATATTATTTATAGTTATTTCCATCTCTGCATTGCAGATGGTCCCTCATCGCAGGGAGGCTTCCAGGGTGTACAAACAATGAAATCAAGAATTAATGAAACACCAACTTAGGAAAGAAGGTGCAAGATCACACCAGGACCACTTACATTGATACTAAGAAGAAGAAGAAGACAACCAAGAATATTAGGGCGGTTGAGTCACCACCAATTCCAAAGCTTGAATCACGTGTGGTTCGGACCAAGGCATTCAGGTGCACCAAAGTTTTTCTTAGTCCACCACAAAACAAAATTGACATTATTGACAATAATGCCATGGTAGTCTAGCCTCAAAGGTTGGCCACTTTTCAACCTAGAAAGTGCTGGTGTCAAAATCCTACAATGGGCCGTCATCCTCCACCCCTGAAGAAGAAAACGAAAATTCAATGGATTTTATGTTGAATCTCAATCCCGAAGAGTTGTTCCTAGCTGAACTCCTCAATTCTGACTTCTCGCAGCTCTGAAGGAAATAGCAGGCTTGGTAGGCATAAGAGCTTACTTATGGAAGGTTTTGAAGGAAATAGCAGTCGTAGCAGTAGAACAGACATGCTGAGTCTTGATTCGAAAAGCTCTCAAAATGGCATTGTGAAGGGAACATCTCCTGTACAAATCAAGAATTTATCAATTTGAAACTAAAATGTATTTGTGACTCAAATGTTTTGAATATATATATATATATATATATATATATATATATATATATATACTAAAAGTCATTTTTTCTGTAGTGTCAATTGTATTTGTCAACACTGATATTAGATGCTACTAATGTTGTCAGAAATCCCACCCCTAATACTGCTACTAGGGGAAAGAAAAAGAAGGGCACTAAGTTGGGGTCTAGAAAATATTTATCATAGAAGAGGTTGAGGAGAAGGGAAAAAGAGTCGTTTGCTACAAGTGTAGGAGTGACTTTAGTTATAGTAGTAAGGCTGATACTAACCACATAGGCAGAAGAAGGGAAAGAAACATTAGAAGCACAAATTAGGCATAGGGTTTTTAGTACTTTTAAATATTCTTAAGAAAAAATGAAGCAAGAGTTAGCAAAATATATTATACATGCTGAACAACCATTTTTATTAGTTGAATATACTAAACTTGAAAAATTTTTACAACATTTTATAAATCCATAATTTAAAATAGTTTCTAGAAATACTATTAGATCAGATGCTTAATTTTTTTTATTCATATAAACAATAACTTAATTTCTACTTTATCAAATCTTACTTCTAGAGCTGCAATTACATATGATATTTGGACCTCTAAATATAATATAATTTATATCTGTGTTACAAATCATTTTATTGATGAAAATTGGCTTTTATAAAAAAGCTACATACTGGCCCAACAATTGTTTCAAGTATTTTAAATACTTTACATAGTTAAGGAATTGAAAATAATGTTAGTAATAATGATTTAGCAATAAATATTTTAAAATCTTAGTTAAAATCATATTTAAATGGTACATTATTTTATATTAGATGTGCATGTCACATCTTAAGTTTATGTGTTTAGGATGCTTTAAATATTACTTTTATCATATTTCTAAAATTAGAAATTGTATTTTGTATGTTAAAAGTTCTAGAATAAGAAAATAAGAATTTGAATATTTATGTCAAAATTATAGTTTAAAATATAAAAAAATTTATATTAAATGTTCAACATAGATGTAATTCTACCTATCCTATATTAAAAAGTTGTATTTCTTACAAACAAATTCTTATTTTTATATGAAAAAGTGCCACATGATATTATACTTGAAGATAACTGGGAAATGGCAATTTGTATAAAAGATTCTTCAAAAAATTTTTATGATACAATTAATAAATTTTTGGGTTTTTATTAACCAATTGATTATATTTTAGTTAATCATTTATTTATGATTGGTGAATGTTTTGCAAAATATAGAAATAATTAAAAATTTAGAAGTATTGTTGAAATAATAAAAAATAAAATTAAAAAATATTAAGAGAAAATTTCTCCTCTTTATTGCTTAGCTATAATATTAGATCTTAGGATTAAGAGAGATGATTTAGATGTTTTACTTGAATCAGATTGTGAAAAATATAAATATTGAAATTGGAAATAAAAAAGAAGAAATCAATAATTTATTATTTAAAATGTATGGTTTATATGAATCTGAAGTGATAGGGCGTAAGAAAATTTCAACTTGTACAGGTGCAATTTTCACTTCTGAAACAACTAGTTCCAATAGTGGAAAAGAAAATTTCTGGTCACTAATAAGTAAGAGATAGGAATTTATTCCACTTCATTAACAAGTTCATTTACTGAACTTAATTTTTATTTACAAGCATTTTTTTTTTAATTTAGGTGATTCCTTCGACTCAAAGGAAAGGAATAATTTTGGTATTTTAGCTTAACCAAGTGAACATGGAAAAATTATTCAGTTCTTGTCATCATGGCACATGATCTATTAACTCCTCTGGTGTTTATAGTTCCATCGAAGTTTTTTTTTTAGTGTAGGTACTAGGGTGCTGGACGACAAGAGGAGCTGCATGAATGATGGGAATCTGGAGATGTGCATATACTTGAAAAATTGGTTAGATGATGAGGATAGATTACAAGATAAAGGAGGGTATAACACTTCGCTTAATGTTTCACCTGAAGTAGATGATGATCAAAGTCAAGGAGATATACATATAGGTGGAGTTTGAAGAAAAATGATGAAGTCAATATTTTTTGTATACTTAATAATTGTATATCATTTTTAAAATTATTGTAAATTTTGTTTTTCAATTTTATTTAAATAATTTGTTATTTTTTCAGCAATGTAATTTTTTATTTTCAATTTATAATTTTGTTATATTATTTTCATATTTTATTCCATTTTCAATATTTCATTCATCCATTGACCATTGTATTGTTCAGATTCAAATGAAATAAAATTCTTAATTTTTCCAATTTGTTGTCTATTTTGTACTTTGTTAAGTATTTTTTTCATTTTTTGTTAAATTTTTTTATTTTTCCGATTTGTTCCCAAAATTAACTATTTTACATGGCAAAAAAAAAAAAACAAATCAAAATGTCAAAAAAAAAAACAAACAGGCTTGATTTGACCCAGGCCTATGGCACAATTTATAACTTACCTAACCTACGCTCATGGCATGGCATGGGCTTGCTTAGGCTCGGGCTGTAGGTTGTGCTAGGCCAACCCCCCAAAGTATCCTAGAGGCGAGAAGTGTTGGAAGGGTTAGGATCCACCATAGGGATGGCCAAACCATGCTAGATGGATGGATGAAATTTAAAAAATTTCCTAATCCTTCTAGGAATCGAATTCCCTATGTTTTGAAAAATTGCATTTTTCAGCATTGGTCTTGCACTGAATTAGACCAGATTTGAAACTAAACAAAGAGGGAAATTTGTACCTGATACGGATTCCATAAATGCAGATTCTAAGGTGGAAGTTCACGCCTAAATCAGTCCTAAAACCAACCTCCACTGAAGATGGTGCAGTGTATAGGTGAAGCTGATTCAACAACACAGTTTTCGGCAAAACTGAGATCCAACTGCTTGAATCGAACTAAGGATGATGAGCCTGATATCCCCTAAAATTTTCTTGCAAAAATTAGAGGAAAAACTGATCTATATTAGTCCTACATAGTTGATGTCGAACTGGGACAAACTGGAAGACAAAAGGGTGCAGAGAGAACTAGAAGCTACAAAAATATGAAGATATCTTGGACTATAAGGCTCTTGATTAATTATGGGCCTTAGGCCCATCAACTATAAGGCTCTTGATTCTAGAGTGTTGCTTGGTTCACTTAGGCTTGATTTGTATGATGTGAGACCCCATAATGACCTCACATAAGTCCACATGGGTTCGGCCTAGCCTCTATGAAAAGGTTTGACTGAATTCACTACTAAATACAGTGAACTCCTGAACACATCATTATAGGCTCAATATGGGCCCAACATTTATACTTAAATGATCATAGAATTCAACAGTCCTATGAAGATCCAAGGATAATGGATTTAAGTAATATAAAGCCCATCAAGTAATAAACCCTTAATAGTCTCTT